TAAGTTTGTTCGAAACGTCGATATGTAATAACAATATTTCGTCATTAATCACAAAAATACTTACAATTATATTATTTTCGCTGTTTATTGAATTCTTTAATGAATCATTTTATTTTATTTTATTTATATTCAAGAATTTTTTCTTTTCAAAAACAAAATTTTCCGATTTTGACAGCTTTCATTTTTATTGATTTATCTTTTTCTTCTCACTTCCCTTTCTCTCAATAAATCATGAAATCACAAAAATAAATCTAATGGAATTTCTATTTAGAAGTTTTTTTTATTAATTTAGACGTGTCTAATTTGATTTATTTAAGAAAAATTCTATCTGAATTATTTTATTCATTTTTGTTTTTTAATTTAAAATTAAAATTAAAAAAAGTATCTATTTATTTTTTTAAAATAGTAGATAACTTGATAGTAAGTAAATAAAGAAATAAATGCAGTTAACGATATGTTTATGAAAATTTATTTTCTTTAACATATAAATTTTCATAAACATATTGTTAACTGCGCTTATTTCTTTATTTATTTTTTTCTAAAAACGAAACGCAAATTTATTTATTTTATTAAAAGAAATGTTTTAATTCATTTTCACTTGTTTTTGTTGAAGATTTTTCATAAAATAATGTTTTTTATTTATTTTCAAAAATAAAAGTCACAGTTTTTATCAAATTAAATTAAAAACATTTTTAATTTTAAATTTTTTCATATTTTTGGATTCGATAATTTCTCGCATCAGCAACATAAAGATTTTCTTCATTGTCAAATGATAAACCTGAGGGAAAATCCAATTGATTTGATTGATTTCCTTGACCATTTCCACCAACAACAACTTCACCTTCTTCATCTCCTTCACACCAACGCACTACTCGATGATTACAGTAATCTGCCACATATATGTGACCCATATGATCAACAATCACTCCCTGAGGATTATCCAATTGTTTGAGACTAGTTCCTCTACCATTTGTAGGAGCCACAATAATTCCTTCTTTTGCACCTTTTTTCCATTTCATTACACGATGATTCTGAAGATCTGATATATAAAGAGAATAATCATCATCAATAAAGATATAAGTAGGTTGATTGAATTGATTAAGATGATCTCCTGGACCATTTCCACCTGCCACCAATTCACCCTTTTCATCTCCTTGTTTATATCGTCTTACTTCATGAGTCTCAGTATTAGAAGCATAAATAAATCCATTTTTATCGATTGTCAGACCAAGACAATTAATATTTGAAATAATAATTTGTTGATTTGTTTGATTTTGATCAAAATATCGAACTACTCGTCTGTTTTTAATATCAGAAATAATAAAAGAATTATTTTCTTTATCAAAAATTATATCGAACGGACCATTCAACTGATTATTTTGATTTTCTTGTCCATTTCCACCTGCAATGATTTGACCTTCATTTGAATCCAATTTCCATTTAACAATACGATGATT